TAGTCCAGTCAAATTACGGTTTGGGCTGGATGTTGTCACTTCACTCAACGACACCAAGCGCATCCTATGTAAAAAAAATTCGCTGAATCCGAAAATCATAGTCCCCCTGGCCGGAAACGCCCGGAACATATTGTTATAAACAAAAAACGAAGAAAAAATGGGAAAATGTCGTGTTTTTTCACATTTGACTTCGAATATCTCGTTAACTATTGCTCTGAGGGAAAAAATGAATAGAAATGAACTTGTTTAGAATAAAATTTTCTATAAGATACCGGAACGCTAATTTTCAACTGTTATTGTTTTTTAGGGAAAAATGTAAAAACAGTAATCTCTAAAATTAACAGTTTGTTATTACTAAGTAAAATTCATTCGATCTTTTTGAAAATCCGTATTTATAGTAACTACTTTTCATAACAAAATATGACAATATGACAAACCAGATCACCGTAGGTTTCATACTCATTGATTCATTAGATAAACAAGTAGAAAAAGAGATGCTTTGTCTTTCAAACTGGGGGAGTACAAGAGTGTTCTCAATTTTTTTATACATATTATAACCCTAAAACAATCTTTTCCAGTAATTGTCCCGATGATTCCTGCAAATCGACGGACTGTGCAATTTTTTTTTCAAAATCCGAAGAATTTTCTTAGTTAACAAATGGAATAACTCCCGAAATATAACCAAAAAAATATAACTCTATAATAGGCGAATGTAAAGCTCTCGGAAAGCCGTACATTAAAAAAAATACGTATATTTCGGGAGTTATTCCATTTGTTAACTAAGAAAATTCTTCGGATTTTGAAAAAAAAATTGCACCGTCCGTCGATTTGCAGGAATCATCGGGACAATTACTGAAAAGATTGTTTTAGGGTTATAATATGTATAAAAAAATTGAGAACACTCTTGTACTCCCCCAGTTTGAAAGACAAAGCATCTCTTTTTCTACTTGTTTATCTAATGAATCAATGAGTATGAAACCTACGGTGATCTGGTTTGTCATATTGTCATATTTTGTTATGAAAAGTAGTTACTATAAATACGGATTTTCAAAAAGATCGAATGAATTTTACTTAGTAATAACAAACTGTTAATTTTAGAGATTACTGTTTTTACATTTTTCCCTAAAAAACAATAACAGTTGAAAATTAGCGTTCCGGTATCTTATAGAAAATTTTATTCTAAACAAGTTCATTTCTATTCATTTTTTCCCTCAGAGCAATAGTTAACGAGATATCCGAAGTAAAATGTGAAAACACACAACATTTTCCCATTTTTTCTTCGTTTTTTGTTTATAACAATATGTTCCGGGCGTTTCCGGCCGGGGGGGGACTATGATTTTCCGATTCAGCGGATTTTTTTACATAGAATACGCTTGGTTTTGTTCAGTGAAGTGACAACATCCAGTTTATACTACTTTTGGAGCTAATTTGACTGGACTACATGGATATTTGTAAATGTATGGTGGGTTGGGTTGGTAGAGCAGCGTTGGCTGAAAACCCACCTCCTCAAAAATAAAGGCAAAATAAAAAAAGAACACCGTACGAGGCATGACGCACAGGGTTGGATTGCCTCGTTCGCGCTCGTGCTCGAGCTGCGTACCGACTTGAGGCAGAACGCGAATGACGCAAGCTGAGGCCGTGTGAGTCTGGACTTTTTTTTACCTTACAACTTCTACAAGTTTTATTTACTCACGTGATGTTGTTGTAACGGTAGCACCGCATTCAGGCCTAATCTTCACAACATTTGAAGGGAAATCGCATTTTAGTTTTGCGGAGTTGAACATTAACATTGGACCACAAGTTCTGCCTGTCAGTTCGCCTCCATCCGCGGTTGCCTCACAACGGTAGTAAAGGTAACAGTCCGAAGGATGAGGTTTATTTGGCTGAGATGTGTCACACACGGCGTGTACTATTGGTTCTGTAGGAAAATGGTCATTAAAGGTTGGTAAGCATACAGCTGATGCTGACAAACCATCATGACACTCCGGTCTGATGAATAAAACATGTTCGGCAAAATCGCATTGCATAGTAATCGGATTAAACATGAATTCTGGGTAGCAAGTTTTCGTAACGACCTGCAAGCCATTCTCCCTCTCTTCACAGTGGTAGTATTTGTAACAGTCGCTGTGATCCATTTCGTTTTCTCCGTGGACATCGCACAATGGAGAAGTGGTTGTTGCAACTGTACACAAATATTAATTGTTTAAAAATCTTCCTATTTGGTTCCTACCTGATTCGCCAGTAGTAGTGACGGTGGTAGACTCAATCACGGCACATTCCGGTCTTACTTTAGCAACGTCTAATGGGAAATCACATTTTAAAGTCATCGGATTAAACATCAGCATGGAACCGCAAGTTTTTTGCGCCAAGTCATTTCCAACTTCCGTTTCTTCACAGACGTAGTAGATGTGGCAGTCGGACACGTGTGGCAGTTTGGCGTCCGTCATCTCGCAAATTGCAGTCACGGTAGCTTCTAATGAGAAATCAATTTTAAAGCGGAAAATATCAATCGATGGTTTTACCTGTGCTTGTAGAGGTAACACCTGCACATTCGGGTCTGACTTTGGCAACGTTGTGGGGGAAATCACACTTAAGTTTCGCAGAGTTGAACATCAACATCGGCCCGCAGGTCCTTCCAATGAGCTCACCGCCGGTTTCGGTCTCTTCGCAACGGTAGTACAGGTAACAATCAGAGGGATGCGGTTTATTGGGGACGCTAACGTCGCATGTCGGTTTCACGGTTGGAATGACTGAAAAATATACCTCGTTAGTTCAGGATACGATTGATCAACTTTGCTTTCACCTTCTATACATTCCTCTTTAATTACACCAACGTTGTCTGGGAAATCGCACTGCAGCGTTTCCGGATTGAACATGAATTCCGGTTTACATGATTTTTGAACTTCAACAGCAACGCCGTCTCTTTCCTCGCAACGGTGGTAAGTGTAACAATCAGCTCCTGGTCTGTTGGGTTCGGAAACGTCGCATTGTTGCGTGGTTGGCAGCCTTGTCCTCCAAATTTCGCACTCCGGTTTGATTTCCGCGACATTGTCCGGGGAATCGCATTCCAAACTTACAGGATTGAACATTAAATCGTCGGCGCAAGTCTTCTTGACCAACAAAATTCCGTCCTCCGTGTCTTCACACTTGAGGTACTGATAGCAGTCGGTGGGGTCGGCTCGGTTTGGTTCGTTCATATCACATTGAGGTTTAGTGATTTTACATTCGGGTTTGACCTTAGCAACGTTGCCTGGGGAATCGCATTTAAGAGTAGCGGGATTGAACATCAGCATCGGTCCACATGTTCTTCCAACCAGCACCGATCCCTCCTCTTTCTCCTCGCAACGATAATACAAGAAACAATCCGAAGGGTGAGGCTTATTGGGTTCTGATGCGTCGCAGACTGGAGAAATTGGCACCTCTGTTAAAAAAAATGAGTAGTTTTGGATGGAGAGGGTTGAAGGCAACTTACCTATCTCACATTCTGGTCTCACTACTGCCACTTGCTCAGGAAACTCGCATTTTAGCGAGACAGTGTCAAACATAAACTCGGGGTAACAAGTTTTGGTAACCATTTCGACTCCACTTTCCCTGTCCTCACATCGGTAGAATTTGTAACAGTCTGTGAGGTCTGGCACATTGGGTCCATCAACGTTACACGCTACAGTAGTCGATGGTGCTAAAACAGCTAGTGTCAGTGCGTCATTTGCTAGCGAAACCCTTACCACGTGTCGTTGAAGGAACACACTCCGGTCGGACTTGCCCTACAGACTCTTCAGAATCACATTGCAAACTGATGGGATTAAACATCAATCCTGACTCGCAAATCTTTTCGACTAGATCGTTTCCTTCCTCGGTCTTCTCGCATTTGTAGTACGCGGAGCAGTCGTGAGCGTGTGGACGATTCGGCTCATCCATTGCACACACTTCGGTAGCTGGCTCTACAACATCAAGCGTCACTCACTTAATACAACGCTCATATTACATACTAATGGTGAATACACATTCCGGTCTAACTTGGCCGACGTTTTCCGGAAAATCGCATTTCAGCTTTGCGGGATTAAACATTAAGTTCGGTCCGCAGTTTTGTCCGACTAATTCCGCCCCCTTGTTCTCTTTCTCGATGCAGCTGTAATACAGATAACAGTCCGACGAGTGGGGTTTGCTGGGTTCGCCGACGTCGCAGGCTTCGGTAACGGCTAAAAACTACCGTTGGTCGCCGACTTACTTCGCGATCATACTTACTCTCGTGACATTCGGGTCGCAACTCGCCGACTTTCATCGAGAAGTCGCACTGAAGCGTTTCCGTGTTAAACATAAAGTCGGGGTAGCACGTTTTTCGCACAAGCTCGTACCCATTGTCCGTCTGTTCGCAACGGTAATAGAGGTAGCAGTCGGATGGATCGGCGATATTCGGCCCGTGTACGTCGCACGCCGGAGTTGTAACTGGGGCTGAAAGTGGAGCGTGAGAAAAAGCCGTGTAAAAGCGACCTTACCAGTAGTTGAAACTTCGCATTCCGGTTTAACGAGTATGACTTTGGACGGAAAATCGCACTTGAGCTTCTTGGGATTGAACATCAAATCTGGTCCGCAAGTTTTGACAACCAGCGAGTTTCCGTCGTCGGTTTTGTCGCAACCGTGATATAAGTAGCAGTCGCCAACGTGAGCTTCCAAAGGCTGTGATGGATCGCACGATACGGTCACCGTTTCTTCTGCAATAGGAATAGCAGGTGAAACGGAGATGTGCATGTGAACTTACTGCATTGGCATTTGACTCGAATTTCAAAATCGGGACACTCGTCCTCGTCCTGTCTAGACGTGCAGACTAAACCGCGCTCCAAGCTGCATTCGACATCCAGTCCGGTTTCTTTTGGAGTCAGGTGCGTGTCTACCGTTCTGCATTGGATGTCGGCGATCATGTCAGATTCGCATCGGCTTCCCGGTAACTCCGCCTGAAACGATTTTGAATTACTAACCCAAAATTGTTCCTTAATACTACCATTATAATGGAAGTTGGCAGTGGTTCAAAGTCAGAGTCCTTGGGACCGGGTTTGGAGTTTACATTAATCCACGTGGTCCAACCGGGCTTGCACTGCACGGTCTCGGTATTAGGCTCCGTACGAGTTTCTTCCGTCTAAAACAGGCGTTAAAGTGGTTACAGCTTAAGGCTCCTCTGTAGACAATTTGTATTTCAGTGTTATTGCAATTGGTTAGATCACCAACAATACACACTGCTACATGATCTCCTTGAGTGAAACCAACGATGTGTCAGTTTTGCATATTCTCTTCATTTATTGTTAAACACAATAGACCATGTATAATGATCAAGGACTAATTATGTAAACAAGTTTATCGAAAAGCTGTACAATATTTGACTGGAGATGCACAAATACCTATTTCTGTTACCGTTGAATAAATTATTTATTCAATGCATTTACTGCATTTTTCTATAATGACACCTTCTGTAAATTACGTGGTTTTCATGTAATTAGTGGACTAGATTAGCATTGTTTGTTTATAACATTTTTAAATTTCCCATTATTTCTTGTGATTTGTTCTAATCATTTTTACTGATTTATAGATTTTTATAGTTATTAGGTACATGTGCATGAATGAATTCACTTAGGTATGGTAGATCCTAAAAAAACCGGCACTTCGAACACCTAAAATAAATCTTTCTTTACTTATATACAAGGGTGAACAACAACAAAAATTGTATGTTTTTCATAAAAATGGTAGCTAACATTTAAAATTCTGTTACAATGATTAAAAGTATAACATTTATACTGATTCTAAATAAATCCTTATCTTTTCAAAAATTAATAACAATTGTACATTTAGCGTATTACTTATTTATATCTATGCACGACCCATGGAGAATTTTTCCGAACATCTTTTGTGCGGTAAGATTACTTCACTTTCTTGCCCTGAATTCAATGGTAAAAATAAAATTTACTTGATCCTCCTATTTTTTGAGGGACAAATATTCCTGTTGATAAAGTTGATCAGTCCATATTGAAAAAAGAAGTAGGTAGTAGTAAAAAATTTACCGGTTTCGGTCGCTACATAGTATTGGAAATTTGAAAAAAATTCGCCAAGTTGATGTGAAGTTTGTGGGACTCCATCAAAAGGTATTCTCAAACGGAAAGATAAATAGACGAATTTTTTTAAAAGTGCAAGAATTTTTTTATATCCCCCACTTTCACTAACTTGACTTAACATGAGCAAAACAGTGACACTTTGTTTTAAATAAAATTGTCAGTGTCGGTCATTAGTTATCGTATCCCGCCTAGGAATTTAACTAAAAAGGGGAATTGTATTTATATGGGTAGCGTTTCTTTTATATAACATACAACGACGTTTCCTATCTTTATGTTTCGCTAATAAGCGAAAAAATGCCTATGTGTCATTTGTTATCTATTGGGCGCAACTTTATGGAAAGCAAAGGGCATGTGCATCTTTTGCTTTTGGTCGCATTTCTCGAAATAGATAATTTTCACGTTTTAGTACCTATCAAATTGACGTTTATTTTATTTAACGCCTCTTGAGAATTACCGAATAATTAGCTAAACATTACATGGTGGCATACGGTAAAGAACGTTAAAAAACGTGTTGGGTGCTAGGTAAACGAATCTGTTAAAAAGCGGGGTCTAACGGGTTTACGTTGGAGAAAGACGAACAAACAAAAATAAGGTTTTACTTATTCGAGGAATGTCTAAAATGTCTGATGCATTATGTCCTGGTTCAATGAGCTTTAAAGGTAACTTAGCTGCAAATTGGCGCTTATGGGAACAAAAATTTAATCTGTACATGCTTGCTAGTGGAAAAAATGCAAAAGTGGACAATGTTAAAGTGGCAATAGCAATACTGTTAAATTTCTTGGGCGATGAAGGGCTCGAAATTTTTAATACATTCGAATTTGAGAGCGAAGATGACAGCAAAAAATTATCGGTCGTGCTTGACAAATTCAGGAACTATTGCGAGCCGGTTAAAAACTTGATTTTTGAACATTTTAAGTTCTTCAAACGGGAACAACAGCAAGGAGAAACATTTGATCAGTTTGTGACGGCTTTAAAACAGTTATCCCTTTCTTGTGAATTTAAAGAAAAAGACGTAATGATTCTTGACCGTATAGTGCTCGGAATACGCGATACGCGCACACAGGAAAAATTATTACAAGAAGACAAACTAACCCTCGAAAAAGCTGTGTCGTTATGTAATGCTATCGAAAGTAGTGCAGTGCAACATAAACAGATTTCACGCGATGCTAAAAGTGAATTTCTAGCCGTAAATACGGTACATTCGGAGCATAAACATAAAAATAACTTTCGAAATAATAATTATAGTGCAAATGATCAGGG